ACGCCGTCAAGTAACCTTCGTGACCAACAAACGCACATGCGTTGTCGGTGAGTCAGCAAAACCGTTATTCCTTATTCTCCTACGTAAGACCCGCATACTCCAACACTCTTGGGCCTAAACACTTCTCTGTCCTCATTTCTTCTGGGCCCTCCTCCTGTACTGATACAAGATAGGTGGCCTCAATGCCTCGTACGTATCAGTACTGTGTTGTTTTTGATCCACTTGATGGATCCTCAAACATTGACTGTGGTGTCTCCATTGGAACTGTATGTTTCTCTTACCCAAGTTTTTTTTCTGAGGCCTCCAGAGAGTAAATGATGTGAAGGTTCGTCGTTTTTCATTTTGGCTTTCATTCGTGTGTAGATCTTTGGAATTTACACAATGAACCACAATAATGAGCCAACTACTGAAGATGTTCTGAAACCTGGGAATGAAATGGTTGCAGCGGGTTACTGTATGTACGGAAGCTCCTGCATGGTACTGAAAAATGAAATTTACAAAAGGAAATATAATTAACGACCAGTCTGATTAGTTTATTAACCTGGTGTGATTTGTTTCTCACAGCTTGTGCTGAGTAGTGGAACAGGTGTCCACGGATTTACCCTGGACCCATCTCTAGGAGAGTTCATATTAACCCACCCAGACATTAAGGTACCGGGAACCAATAAACATAATATTTATGTTCTCTTTTGCTATGAATTTCTGAACATTCATTAGTTCTTCTTGTGTAAAGATTCCAACTAAGGGAAACATCTACTCAGTGAATGAAGGCAATGCTCAGAACTGGGATGGTCCAACCACAAAGTATGTAGAGAGATGCAAGTATCCCAAAGATGGTTCTCCCGCAAAGTCTTTAAGATATGTTGGAAGGTATAGTGGGGACCTTTTCTATTCAAAACCTAAGATATAGAAAATAGCTTAATTTCATTGACTTACCAGTATGGTAGCCGATGTTCATCGCACGCTTCTTTATGGAGGAATCTTCTTGTACCCGGCTGACAAGAAAAGCCCCAATGGGAAATTGCGGTGAGCTTTAGGATAATACTGGAGCTTAAATATATAGCCACTGATTTGCTTTTGATTTGAAAATTTGGAAAACTTGAGGTTTCCTGTTTTGGTGCGCATATGTGAACAGTGTGCTGTATGAAGTCTTCCCAATGGCGTTCTTGATGGAGCAAGCCGGAGGTCAGGCCTTCACTGGCAAGAAAAGGGTAATTTACCCTCTTTTTTTTTTTTGTAACACAAGGGTAATTTACCCTCTAACCGTTGAAATGCAAACTTTCATGGTTTTGTTGATTACGGTTAACAATGCGTGATGCAGGCCCTAGACCTTGTCCCTGAGAAGATCCATGAGCGCTCTCCCATATTTCTTGGTAGCTATGACGATGTAGAGGAGATTAAGGCTCTGTATGCTACTGAGGAGAAGAACTAAGCTTCTCATTCTTATCTTTTTTTTTTTTTTATAAATCTTCTTTCTGTCGAAACATACCAAATGACTCACTTATACCCCTAAGAAGACTTGTTCAATAAATATAATAATATATATATAATCTCCTTTCAATAAATATTTTATTTGTCTCCACCTTGCAACATATATTTGGAGATGGTGGATGTACTAACCCTCGCGACCGGATAGGATTTTGGTCAAGAAATTTTTGTAAGATCAGTTTTGTGATTGGTCGAACAAAATTAAAAATAAAATTGACCTAGTGAATTAATATATTGAGGGAATTGTCTTGTGGTCGAAAGGTTTTCTTTCAATAATTATGGTTAAGCGTTAATTTTTATGGTCGATTTTTATTAAGTTGGACGAGATTTTTCGAGAGCGAGATGAGATCTGGAGGACAAGAAATATTTGGACGAATAATTGTTAAAAATTATTGACAAATTTCCTAAATATGTTTTGAACTAGTTTATGTCCTCACCACCCAAGTCAGCTTGCTTATTCATAAATCAAGTCACATGTCATGCATCTTCCTGCTTTCTTAGTTTATGTATAAATGGCACATGCATATCACAAGCTGCCTATGTGTTTGCTTCCTTTCTTCTTGACTAATTATGATTGACTGGAGACTGCTTCATGGGAAGGAAAGGACAGCTTGCTTCTGCAGGTAATGAAGCAGTTCTCTACCTGTTCACTCTCAGTCTTGTTTTGTGTTAAGTAAACCTTCAGTTGAAGAAATTATTTTGTGCTATAAAATACCATCATCTTTCCTCCTGGACGTCCTGTTGGTGCAAGAAAAAAGAGAAAAAAAAATCAGAGAGAAAGAGAGAAAAAAAGATAGAAAAATCTATGAGGAAATTTCATGTAGAGTTTAGAGAAAAGAAGTGAGCTTGGACGACCCTTTGTCACCCTCTTCAGACTTTAATCAGTGAGTTTTGGTGTGTTTAAGAGGTTAAGTTTTGGCGTCCTGAAGTTGAGGATCATCTATGTTCTTCAGTCTTCCATTTTAGTCGGTAAGATGTGTTGATCAGTTTCTGTGAGTAGTCTGTTTGATTGGTCTCGGTTTGAAATTTGTTCTGATTAAATCTGACTTTGGCTTGATGTGATACTGATCAGGTTGGGCGTGGTTTCATCTTAGCATGGTGTATCAACTGAGTTCAGACAGTGTTTGATTTGAACCGGTAAACTGTTTTGTCTTTTGATTCAGATCAGTTTGGATTGGAACTAGCTGACTGAGTTGTTGATCTTCCTTCCTGGATTAATTTCTTAAATCCTTATATGGATTGATATTAATTCAGTTCATGGTAACCTATCATCTAAACAACTTAGCTGAAAGGATTTATTATTGAACCGAACTGAACTGATCTTAGCTAAACTTAACAAAACTGATCATGGTCTGAACTAAAATTTTCTGAACTGAACTATTTGAGCTGAGTTGAATTCCTTCTTCAACCGGACTGATGAACCTTATGTTCCAACCGTTCTGTTTTGAATTCAGATGGCCGGACCAGCCGGATCATGCCCCGTCCTCATTTTATTTTGGGAAGTGATTAGCAAGTAGGGACCGTTTAGCCTGAGCTTGTGTCTAGAAATCCTTAGCCAATCTCATGGATTCAAAAGTGAGTAGATAGATGAATGATGAGTTATGAAGAAGTTTCATGTTTTAAAGTAATTAATATGGTTGATTAATAAGCAAGTCTCTTGATCTATATTAAAGTGTGAAGTGTTTATTTTTATAACACTTAAGTAGTATTAAGAACTAGGTGATAATCCGCGCCCTGCACGGAGTGAATGTTTAAAACATATTAGTACTTTAATATATTAGTAAGTTACAAGTCATAGTAACCAATGTTAGCTATAATGAAATATTGATCGAAATTATGCAGATTTATATAATGTAAGAGGTTTTTTTTTCTATAAACTTGTTTAATTAGTTAGCTGTAATTGAAGTATATTACATGGGAATAAATTTTTAAGAGTAAGCAAAGACTTAAAAAAAATTATTATGAATTTAAGCTAAAACAAAACATAAAAAATATAATTATTTATTTCATGATTAAAATTATGATTAATAATAAAAATTGAAACATATATAATAGAATAATAAAATACTAAAGAAACAAATTATAAAAAACAAAAAAAAACAAAAATTAAAAGCACAACCGATGTGAAATGTATTCAAAACTGGTTTGCAATCCTATATAGAGAAATACTAAAGAATCAGGTATCAAACTAAACATACTTATTTACCAAATTCATAATCGAAATGATATACCTCTTTCTAAAAGAATCAGTTTCTGGAACATTATTGGGTTCAAAACAAAATTTCCGAAAACCCATCAATGTTAGTTTAAAACCAATTCCTTCTTAATAGACGCATGGATTTTATCTCCTTACAAAAGAAAAAAAAAACGTGAGGTATACAGAAAATTACACGTTAAAGATTTTGAAAAAACGTCTAATAAGGACAACTTACTCTCGCATCCATGAAAACCATCTTGATGGTCTCTCTAACAACAGCCGAGTAGTGCTTCCAAAGTCTTATGAGTTTCACCCTTATCTTCCAAATAGACTTCCAAGACTTTAAATCAGATATGAAATTCATGGCATTCATTTTCTTTGATGCTTGTGACACGTTTAGATTGTGATGGCGTTATAGGAAATATATAGTCATTGACTAAATGGTTTAGGTTACGGTATTCTTTTCACGAAATGGATATTTAAATAGTCATTGACGATGAAGGTAATGATGGGAAACTTATACTTGATTTTATATAAAGGTTTTGATATATAACACATGATTAAATAACTTTTTGGTTTTTGATCTTACTGGAAAATCTAGAAAATATGCAGAAATATCAGTTGTAGTATGAAGGAAATATAATTTAATCAAGACAGTAATGAATCAATTAAAAAAAAAACATTAACTCAACATTTCAATTTTCCATTGACATTTACGTAAATTTCTCAGTCACAACTCAATCACAAAGTGTGTGGTCCTTAAGTTAAGGGTTTTAAACACTACTGACTTCTTTTTTTTCATTTCCTGTACTAACAGTCAATAATTTACGAATATTAAAATTTACATTTTGTATTGTCAAAAATATAAAA